CCCAAAATACCTATCAGCTAAAGCTGTTACCACTGCCCCTACAGTATAAAAATATCCCAGTCTTCTCTCAATAATAGAGAACTGGATCACTAGGAGCTAGGAGCTGAACACTTAATAAAGCTGTAACACGGACTAAGCAGAGTCCTGCGTCTTACTACTGATCCAGCCTCTCCCGGGGGCAGCATTCCTCCCACCGACTCACGAAGCCCCAGCTTCAGCCGCCTCGCGCTCTCCGGCGTGATCCAGTGGCGAGTGGATCTCGAAACAAGAGGAAAGCGCATGGGGGAAAATTAAAGCAGTATCCGACCGGACATGCTTCGGTAGCAGAGACCCACACAGACACGGAGAAGCGGCAGAGAACCAGCAACCCGCGAGAGCCAGCAGTCACAGCAGAGACGCGGAGCCACCGTGCTGCGGGACTTTCAGCACTAAAGCGGCGGACAGCGACGCGGCACTCGGCATGGCGGAGAAGCCTGTGGGACACCCGCCGCTGCTTCCAGAGCGTGAGCAGAGCCGCAGGAGACCGATCCCCACGGGACGGCATGCACCATACATACTGAGTTTCAGATTACAGAGCCTGGATTCCTGGAAACCATGTGACCTTGACAGTTGCAATATCACCCTAGGCTCAAGCTTGTCTCCCACACAGGGGACTATGGAACATCTCTCAAAATGTCCTGAAACTGTGGTGAGTCACCTGTCCTCTTGTTCAGGGAGGACATGGAGACCCCACGAGATGAACTTGAACTAGTGTCCAGTCTACAAAGAGGAGGGTCATCTCAGAGGAAACACCTCATTCATGCTTCCAAGTGAAGCCAGACATGGTCGAGCAGGACCTTTGACTTATCTTCACATAGATGGAACTGGTTAAAGAAAGGATCCAGGAGCTCCTCCCAAACCCATGTACCCACTGAGGAACAGGTCCTCAAATGACCTTAAGTGTAAAAATAAATTGATTTATTTGAGCCAACTGTATGGTCTTAAACACCCAAAAGGAAAGTATAACCAAAGAGTAAAGTGATCAATTTTAAGAGTTCAAAGAGTGAAGTGATCAACTTTAAGAGTTCAAGGTATTAAACTTCCTAGACATTGAGCTTAAGTCTACATATAAAGTTATTTAGACAATTATTTCTCATTGATGATTTTGCTCCTAACCAGAAAGTGCTGCTCAGATGTAAGACTTCAGATCTTGGCCTCCAATACTGTAGTGCCCACCTGTAGCTAAGGGAGACAACCAGCTACTATTTTAAAATGATGGATAAATTTGTTTTCTCGCCCTATCTAGAAGCCTTTAAGAGGGAATTGATATTGATTCTAACTACTCCAACAGCTACCAAAATACCTGAAAGCAAATCCTAAATCCATCACTTCAAAGTCAAACCTTGGAAAACAAAAGAAAAATTAGAAAAGACCCAAAGGGATGCTTTTGGAAGCCCTTGTCAAGAAATTTCAATGGACCCATGAACATTTGAAAATTGCCCTGTTCTGACTTTTTTCTAGTTCTCTGGCCAGAACTTGTAATGCTAATTACTCTTACCTTTACTTCTCCTTCACAGCTCCCATTCAGGATTCAAGGACTTTTTTTCCCCTTAGAGGTAAGAGTTACATAATTTGGGAGACTTTTAGATAGACCCACTGAAAGAGTAATCCAATTGCCTCACCCTGCGTCCCTTTTCAGCATGGAAGAAGCCAGAGCGGTCTGCATCCCTATTCCCTATTGGCAATTTGGGTAATCTCTTCAGAGGATTGGATGATAAGAATAGAAGGTGGGAATTGGCTCGGCAGTTAGGGAAAAAGACCCCAAAGAAAAGTAGCCAGTTTCTTGGCTGAAAGTCAAAATGTCCTTGGGCCTCTTAGCAACATACTCTGTTCCAAAGGCCAAAATTGTTGAAAGTACTTCGGAGCTTGTATCTAATCCTTAAAAGATTTTAGGTTTACCTCTTTAGAGGGGAGAATGTTAGAGTAGCCAAAAGCCCGATAAAAATAAATAAAAATAAACAAATATATAAATAAAT